CCTATGTGGCCACACATATGCAGATATACACACATGCACACCACACACATAAAAAAATTCAATTTAGGCATGTCTAGGATGAGCTCAAATGTAAGACCTATACAGACCAAGTGGCCACAGGTGTAGAGTTACAAAGACATGCAAATTACAACAGGGCTCTCAGCACTTAATTCTCACACCCCACATTTTTCTTACATCTCTGTACTTCTAGTTACTACTTTAAATTTAGTACATGCAAGGTAACTAAGTAATCCTCTCTTATTTACATTATGCATTTCGTCTAGATCTTTAACATTTGAAATGGTCAATAAAACTATTGAGATACAAAAAAAAAAGACCAAGTTATAGGTAGGCCTTTTGGCACATGCCTATAATACCAGCCTATGGGAAGCTAAGGCAGGGATTCTAGAGTTCCAAATCAGCCTAGGCTACATGAGTTCAAGGCCAACCTGGGCTGTACAGTAAGACCCTGCCTTAAAAAAAAAAGTCGGAGGATATCGGAGGATATGCTCAGCATGGAACATGTATTTAACATGTAGCACAGTGCCATGCACAATTAATATACACAATGAATTTTTTAAAGACAGAATTACAGAAAATTTACTTTATAGCAGGCCTGTGAGATGGCTCAGTAGCTCTCAGAACCCACATAACTATCAGAGAGAACTGACTGCACAGAGTTGTCCTCTGACCTGTACACACACACACACATCATGCACACTCAGACCCATACCATACACACACAATAATAATAAATTATTTACATTTACTTTAAAGAGCAAATTGGCTTCTATTTGCAGTTCTAGAATTGAGTGACTTCTTGTTCCATAGCGTAGAATCAGCATTTTTCCCTGAGGAGGGCAGAGGAGATTGGTTTCATAGCAGAAGACTCCTGAAGCAAGCAGAAATAGGACAAAAAGCAAACTGGTTATTTCATAGTCACTTTCCTCATAGGGTGAAAGAAGGGTGCTTCCTTATTACACTTCATTACAGTCAGCTCAGGCTGGCTGATCTCTCCTGGTTTAGAACTGGCCTTTTTGGAAGTGCAATCGATGACGTGGAACGTAGCAAAAGTGGCTGTCTTCCGCTTTGCTTTGATGATCTGAGGCCTGGTGTAGGAGGCTAGTCTACTATTCTATTGATCCCAGGGTCAAGTTCCTGTCAGCCTCTGGCTGCATTTTTGCTAAGAGATAATAAGCAGGTTACTATTTTGAGATATCTCATTTAATGAATATTCTTGATTTGCTAGCATTAAGCTTATAGCCAATAATCTAAATCATGTCTGAATAAGTTTATCTTACATATATGTTTTCTTTTTCATGAGAGACATATACTTCTTGCACTTTAGAACACTAGATACTTCTGTATTATGATTGGATTATGATTGGGAACCATTTTAACTAACAGAATCATAAAAAAAGCACAAAAATGCAAACAACATGGCATTAAGTAGACTATAAGATAATTGTTTATAGGACTAAATATAAAACAAGAAATCAAAGTATCAGTATCATCTTGCTCAACATCTACTGGAAAGTATCATCAGACAACTCAAAATCTGGGAACAATTGTGAAGGTATTCTAAGAATTGATTCTGAGATTCCAATACAAGTTTAGCAAGATGGTGTATTTGCAGGTAATAGGTTTGTGAATAACAAGAACCTACTGTTTTTTTGAACTTGCATGCCTATGTCCTCACTAAATGTGAAGGGTATTCAAGCTCTAACTGCTGTTAACAGTGCTGCTATATTCTGCTCTAAGAATTTGCAGTATGTTGTCTGAGGCTAAGGAATTCTTTGGAACTTTTTCAAAGGTAAGTTCTGAAGAAAAATTTATGGCTTAGAGTAAGAAGCAACTTTAGAGATTTTGTAGACTTCTAGGCCTGTTTAACTCATAAGGACACTTCTGGAGAGTTTTTTAAAAAGTTGCCCAATTTGGCAAGGCAGTCCAGCACAGTCATGCTTAGAGTGCAGATTTTCAGACATCTCTTTCTGTTGTGCTAAAGCTCTTCCTACAGTTTTAAGTATCTTACTGTTAAAACTGGCTTCAGAGTCATCTGTGGGAACACATGGAAAGGATGTGATGGAAAGTAAAAATGATTTACTTTCTGGAAAACAGCAGCCAAAGTTGATGTCTGGTTCATCTGCATCATGCAGAGGCCCATACTAGAATACGTGTATAGGGAAAGATATACTAATGCATTTGCCGAGCTCTCCAAAACTAGTCTCCATTCTGTCAGGCTCAGATTTAACCTAACTCTTCAATCAAAATCACTCTGCTCCTGCCTTTACAACCTAGACACTTGTAAATCCGTTTGCAGACTACTCTCCCCACATGAAGAAATGAGAGATAGTCACAGCAAAGCTCATGCTGCTAGGGAATGGTATCATCCACATTCCAGTTCAGGTCTCCTAATTGTAGCCCAATATTCTTTCTGTTGACTCAAATTTCTGTATATATTTTTCTTAATTAAAAACAACAACCACAGTCCTATTTTATGGTCTAGGGAGATGCTCAGTGGGTAAAGTGCTTACCAGAGTTCAGATCCCAGTACTTGTGAAGATGCTGGGTGGTTGTGGCAATCTGTTTAGCATGTGGGATTCAGAGACAGGAGATCCCCTGAGTAAGCTGGCTTGTTAGACTAGCCAGATTGTAAGCCCTGGATTCAAGTGAGAGATGTTGCCTCAATATATATGGTGAACAATGATTGAGAAAAACACCCAGTGTCAATTCTGGCCTCCCTGTGCGTGCACACACACACACACACACACACACACACCCATACACCTATACTCAAAAAAAAAAAGCCCACCTTATTTTATCCATAGGTAAATACACAGAATACTGTAAGAGAAGTAAACACAAGCAGACCTTGCCTAAAATATGTTCAGTAGCATTGATTTGTAAATAAGATGATTTCACTTTAAACAATGAAGTATTTAGCATGTGGATCATTTTCCTTCCCCGTCCACCTGTATTTAAAGCCACTAACCCATAAATGTGCAAAATGTGCTGAATTCAATTTGGAAACATTTCAAATCTGTATAAAAGAATAGTATGGTAAACAACCTAAAACACTACCTTTATAGACCAGGGTTCTAGTTTGCTTTCAGTTGCTGTGACAAAACACTGACCAATACTCAACACTCAAGAAATATCCCACAGACCTGGTCACAGGCCAGTCCAATGGAGGCAATTCCCCAGTTGAGGCTTCCTCAACCCAGGTGTATCAAGTTGATAGTAAAGCTATCCAGCACAACCAGTTCTTCACCTTTTTATGAATTTGAGCCCTTCCTGTAGTAAAAGTTGTCATAATCATAAAATAGTGATATTTTCAGTTACTAATAATCATGCTTTATATAAATTTCATTGGTTACAATCCTACCACAGTGCAAAGCATCTCTCTCTCTCTCTCTCTCTCATGTGTGTATGTTTATGTGTATGTGCATGTTGGCCAGAGGTTGATATGAGGTGATGAGGTGTCTTCCTCAATCACTTCACCTTATTTTTTTGAGGCAGAGTCTCTGACTGAATCTGGAGCTCCTCAGTTAGCTAGACTAACTAATCAGTAAATACCAAGGATCCTTCTGCCTCTTCCTCCACAGCACCACGATTATGGGTGCACAGGACTGTGCGCTGGGAGTTCTTTTTTTTTTTAAGCCAAACTCATCCTCATGCTTAAACAATAAGCATTTCATTAACTGCCCTGGTCTCCTGTTTTTTGTTTTGTTTTTAAGTTATTTTATCTGTTCTTACTCAAAGTGTGGTCTTTGGACTAGCAGCGTCAGCATCAGCAGAAAAATGCTTAGAAATGCAGTCTCAGGCAGCCCTGGACTATTGATTCAGAAACTGCATTTTAACAGAATGTTCCAGAATGTGTTTTAGTTTGAAGAGCAGTGGTTTACTCGCACCTCTTTTCCTCCTGATATTTGCTCATCTGCCTCTGCCCTAACTTGTACTTCTCAACTTGTTTCACAATATAATTATTTTGATGCACTGAACAGTAACTAGTAACGATACATCCACCCCCAGCCTTTTTGAACCCCTGAGCCAGGGTTCAAAACCACAGTCTGCTACCTCCTGTGACTTTGAGATAGCCTCTTCCTTATATAAGTAGCTCTCATTGTTATAAGCTGTTATAAATTTCTGTCTTATATTGAAGGATTTAATATGTATATGTGCTAAGTAGCAAGAAAATTTAGTGTGTGTGTGTGTATGTGTATACATATATATACTATATATGTATAATAGTATATTTAAAGTCCAGTTGAGACCCTATCTCAAAAACAGTTGACCATGGTTATAAAACATTATAAAATTTCAGGGGCTGGAAAGATGGCTCAGCGGTTAAGAGCGCTGACTGCTCTTGCAGAGGACTTGGGTTCAGTTCCCAGCACCCACATGGCAGCTACGAACCGTCCTTAACTCCATTTCTAGGAGAATCCAAAGCCCTCTCTGACCTCTGAGGCATTGCACGACACGGATACACTCACATACATGCAGGCAATACATTCATACTCATAAAATAAAAATAATAAATACTTTTTTTTTTTTTTTGTCTTTCTTTTGAGACAGGGTCTCCCAGTAGCCCCAGCTGGCGTGGAACTCACTATGTAGACCAGGCTGGCCTTGAACTCACAGAGATCTGCCTGCCTCTGTCTCCCGAGTACTGGGATTAAAGGTATGTGCCACCATGCCCGGCATAAATTTTTTTTTTAATTATATTTCAAATGTTTTTATGACATTTTGGTACACTGAAGAATGATTAAGATGATATATTCTGTTATATGTATTTTGCCATAATCAAACAATGGAAAATTCAGCATTGACTAATTTATCATTTTTATTTAAATCATAAACACATATACACTGTCTCTATATGCATGTATCCCTCCCTGGAGTCATATAATTTATCATTTTTGCTAGATTGCCAACAATTCATTTCTTTTTTGCTTATTCCTACTGCTTTGTTTTATAGCGTGAATCTTTTTCTTGTCCAGAGTTCCTCAGATGCTATATACCTGGCGAGGCATGTGGGTTTACGAGTGGGAGTTCCAACAGAGACTGGAGCCCTCACTCTCAACAGACTCTGCGGCTCTGGTTTCCAGTCTATTGTGAGTGGATGTCAGGTACAGACAGCCTTTTACTTAATTCTCTGAACATAAGTTAATAGCTACTGGAAGGAAGGCCCCACTTCAATACTCTAGCTTTTGATTTCCCAGTACCTATTAGGAGAGTCCAATTTGACTTTTCTTGGAAAAATATTCACAGGAAGAAAATAGTTTTTTAAAAGCATTAGATTTTAAGTAGAACCTTCAAGTAGAATGAGTCTGTCAAAAAGGACATATTATGGGCTGGAGAGATGGCTCAGCGGTTAAGAACACTGACTGTTCTTGCAGAAGACCCAGGCTCGAATCCCAGCACCCACATGGCAGCTATCAGCTGTCCGTAACTCCAGTTCCAGTGGATCTGATAGCCTCTTCTGTCCTCTGCAGGCATTGCAGGACTTGGGTGCACTTATCTACATGCAGGCAATACACGCATACACATAAAATAAAAATAATAAAATATATTTTTAAACAGGACATATTATAGCTGGTCATGGTGGCGCATGCCTTTAATCCCAGCACTCAGGAGGCAGAGGCAAGCAGATCTCTGTGAGTTCCAGGCCAGCCTGGTGTGCATAGTGAGTTCCAGGCCAGCTGGGGCTACAGGGAGACACTGTCTCAAAAAGACCGAAAAAAAAAAAGGACATATTATATGATTCCACTTTATATACCTAGAATAGTCAAATTCGTAGAGACGGAAAGTAAAATGATGTAGTCCGGGGGCTAGGGTAGGAGAAGGCTCATGTTTAATGGGTATGAGAGATCAGCTGGGCAAAATGAAGAGTTCTGCATGTGAATGGTACTGATGGTCACACTGAATGTGAATATTTTTAATACCAGTGGATTAAAATGGTTAAAAATGGTTAAATGGCAAAATTTTGTTACCTATATTTTGCCACCGTTAGTTTTTGTGTACTTTGCTGTGGTTTTTAAAGCTAATCATGACTGTCATTTTCAGTAAGTACTTCCTGTGTGCCTGACGCTACGCTAGATTTACACTGAGTGTCTTATTTAGTCTTCACAGTCATGCTGTGAAACGAGAACCATTATTGCTATTCCCATTTTATTGACTAGAACTGATTATTAAAAATATTAACAGTTGCTAAACCATAGAGGCAGAATTTGAGGCCTCAGCAAACTGCCTGGGAGGCCATTTGAAAGACCTAATAAAGACTGCAAAGCAAGGAGGGGAGTTGAAATTTAAGAATATTCCAGAAAACGTGTTTTGTTACAGAGGAACCTGAATTATGCTGTTGGAAGGAGTACAAACTGGAATGGCCTCTATAGGGCAGAGTGGGCAAGGGTGCTTGCTTCCTTGAGCACAGGGGAGGAGAATCCAGTAAATTCTATTGTATTTATAAAAATGTTCCCATTACAAAATAAGGTAATAGACACAGATCTATTATAATGATGTTATTGTCATGTTAGTCTCTATAACAATAGACATTAAATAGTTAGTGGTCTCGACCTTCCCAGCATTAATGTTAGACACCAGGTTTTTGGAGGCTTGTTGAATCTTTTCTGAGAGATGGAAACAGCCAAAAGATCTGGAAGAATAAAATGGTTCCTTTTATAAACCTCATAGATTAACTAGCTCTTGCAAACATCTGGTCTTTAGATGTATCTATTAATAGGTTAATTTTTTTGCTTTTTTTAATAGATTTGTCCTTCATTATCTGTCACATATTTATGCCATGTATTATTATCTCTGTAGATTTTCAAGATTAGTATTAAGAATTCCTGTACTTAGAGCTGGGTGTAGCTCTCATCCGTAATCTCAGTGCTTCATGGCTAAGGCAGGGTTGCCACACCTTCAAGGACAGACTAGGCTACCAGAATGAGACCCTGTCTCAAAAAAAAAAAGGGGAAAAAAAGCTATTCTTAGACAAAATAGGCATGGTATGTTCTCAGGCACACATAATTGAAGTCTTTTCATTTACCCCCTTGTATCTTGGAAATAAGATTCTTTAACAGCAACTTTAGAATGACTTTAAGCATTTCCTTTTAAGATATTATAAACTAAGAATGTATTAGAATTGCTCATAATTTGTAAAGTCTTTGTATTTCTGAACACATACTCTATGTATAATAAAAGGATTTTTGTTACCTCTTTTAAAACAGGAAATCTGTGTGAAAGATGCTGAGGTTGTTTTGTGTGGAGGGACAGAAAGCATGAGCCAGGCTCCCTACTGTGTCAGAAACATGCGCTTTGGAACCAAATTTGGATTGGATCTCAAGGTTAGGACTGTTAAATGTTAAAAATTATTTCCTATACTAATTATATGGGTAATTTTAGTAACATTTTAAGTGGGGAAAAAACTAATTTCAACCCAATTTTGTTAATGAAAGGCTTCCAAGATTTGCATGATTTAAAATGTACAGGTTATTCTAAAACTGTTAAGTTTTGACATTTGAGTGCTCATAGAACTAACGTGCAGAAGTGACCATAGGCATGGGAAAGTTGGAGGAAGAAAAGAAGTAGATTAGTTAGTAATCTGAGTAATTATATCTTTGCCATGCCTCCTGAAATATTTCTGGAGTAATATTCATTAAATACATTTCTTCTTCACAAAAAAGCGTTGTGTCTAAGTACACATTCTTCTGTTCCAAAGAGGTCAGACAAACGCTGACCCTTCCACCTCTGACAGCTGTGACATAAGAGGAACAGTTCTGATAAAGAATGATAGCCTACTGTCCTTCTCACAGGAAAGAGCTAATGGCATTTTATAGTGTTTAGCATTTTCCAGGGACTGGGGAGATGGTTCAGTGGGTAAGAGTACTTCCTGTACAAGCATGAAGATCTGAGGTCACATCCCAGATGTGTACACAAAAAGCTGTGTGTGAATATATGAATCTGTAACCCAGTGTTAAGGGGTCAAGACAGACAGATCCCAGGAATTCACTGGCCAGCCAGCCTAACTAAAGCAGAGAGCTTCCAGTTCAGTGAGAGACCCTTGAAGGAAGAAAGCAGAGAGTAATAAAGGAGAACACCCAGCATCCTCTTCTGGCCTCTATGCGCGCATGCACAGACACCCACACCCACACCCACACACTCACCTACATACACCATGCACATACACATGCACATACACCAAAATAAATAAATAAATAAATAAATAAATAATTTTTAGCATTTTCCAGTGCTGATAACTGACTTACACTGTTTGAGTTTCTCACCTGGGCTTTTGGAAACTAAAGGGGCAAAACTTAGAGAATAGGAGTATTTCAGACCCAGAATAACTTGAGGAACTCTGCAAAGACAGTAAGACAGAAGAGAAGGAGACAGAAGGAGCACAGTTAATCAGAGATTCCAACTGCTTGAGGACTAGTTGCCAATCTTTTCTCTTGAGGACCCTGTCCCAGGTTCTTTTCAGCCTAGTAGTAATTAATAGAGCCAGCTGTGCCTGTCACTAAAGGCCAGGGATGGAAAAGCAGCACAGACGTGTTCTTTCCTATAGGTCACTGTGCTAGATAGCTTTAGTGTCAACTTGACACACCTGGGCTGAGGGAGCCTCAATTGGGGAATTGTCTCCATTGGACTGGCCTGTGGCCATGTCTGTGGGGCATTTTCTTGATTGTTGAGTGATGGGCAGGTGGGCCTGTGTTGCATAAGAAAGCAAGCTGAGCAGGGACCAGGGGAGCAAGCCAGTAAGGAGTGTTCCTCCATGGCCTGTGCTCCAGCTCCTGCCTCCAGGTTCCTGCCCTGAGTTCTTACCTTGGGCTCCCTGATGAACTGTGACCCGGGAGATATAAGATAAATAAACCCTTTCCTCCCCAAGTTGGTAGTGGTCAGAGTGTTTTGTCACAGCAATGAAGAAACAAACCAGAATAGTCACAGAACAGGTTGACAAAGGAGCTGCAGGAAAGCATTCCATAACAACCCAGTGCCTGGCTTCTTAGCAAAGAATTTCACTTTTGATTGTAGGGTAACTTCCAGTCTTCTCTCCTTGCACATTTAGACTTCCACATTTAGAGTAAGATAAAATGTACATTCTATTTGTGAAACATTGGTATTTTTAAAATATATTGGCTCCTGGGGCCGGAGAGATGGCACAGTGGTTAAGAGCACTGGCTGCTTTTGCAGAGGACCTGGGTTCAGTTCCCAGCACCCATATGGTGACTAACGACTGTCTATAACTCCAGTTCCAGGGGATCTGATGCCCTCTTCTGGCCTCCATGGGCCCTGCATGATGTGGGTGCATTTATATTCATGCAGGCAATACACTCATATGCATAAAATAAAAAATAATAATAAATAAAATATATATTAGCTCCTTTAAAATAACCCAGAATCAAATATGGATATAAATAATAAGTAGAATTGTTACGTAAATTTAGAGAAACTATGACATGTTATTTCCAAAAATAATGCTTTGACAAATCATTCTTAATGTCTTTTTGTAGCTGGAAGATACTTTATGGGCGGGATTAACAGATCAGCATGTTAAACTGCCCATGGGACTTACTGCAGAGAATCTTGCTGCAAAACACAGCATAAGCAGAGAAGACTGTGACAGATACGCCCTGCAGTCCCAGCAGAGGTGGAAAGCTGGTCAGTACCCACAGGAAAGAGCATAGGAGAGATTTCATCCTTACGATTATAGTGATCATAACAGTGATGTTTGTTTAAAACTCCTAACTCTGAAAACTGCATTTTTGTTATATCTTTTGTTTTAGATATGAAATAATCTGTTACTGCAAAAATTAACTTGGAATTTCTCCTTTGAAATAAGTTAATTCTACTTTAAAAAGCAGTATTGTCACTTGACCCTATCTGAACACTAGGATTTGGTCCTAAATTGTTGTCAGCAGAACACCCTGAGACTTTTGATACACTCCACCAGAGGGGACTGCTTCCTGTGGAGACTGGAAGTATACAGTGTTAGCAGAACTAAAGTGGCTGGGTGTGGTGGCACATGTCTTTAATCCCAGCACTTGGGAGGCAGGAGCAGGCAGATCTCTATGAATTCAAGGCCAGCCTGATCTAAATAATGATTTCATTCAGGTCAACCAGGGCTACATAGTGAGACCCTGTCTCAAAAAAAGCAAAGCAAAACAACACAATTAACTCACCTTATTCAATAGACTACTACAGTCTAGTCTAGTCCATGGAGATTCAAAGTAGATATGATGTTTGACATATAATTGCCCTTTCCCATCAGCCATACTGTATTCATAAGGAGAGGTGACAGTCACCCTCTTTTTATGCCTCCTCCATTCCTAATTAAGAAGCATTACCCATGGCTTAGAGTTAACTAGTCTAACCCTACCTCTACTGCCTTAGGAAGCAAACTGCTGTCAAGTCAGTCCAGAATGAGCAACATGACAGTGGTTGACTTATCAATGACAGTCTGAAGGAAGTTACTAGTGTCTAAAGAAGGTTCTTTTAAAATAAACTATGATAAGCAAGTGGAAACTCTTACTTAGGGATGTTAAGTACTTCATGTAGTGAGGATGAAGTCCATCCAGAGGGAGGAGTGGAATAGAGCTCATTCCACCCAGCTCACCTGTGTTTTTTTCTGTTACACATTTCTAATAGGCAGTCTTGGTCTAGAGAGCCCAAAGATTTCTAGTTCTGCCTTGGAGAAATTATCTGCACTCAGTCAAGTCACTTATTCACTGATGGTCTATAAAATAGATGTAATAATATTTGCCCTTCTGTTTATCTTATAGAGTTGTTATTAAACTAAATAAAGGCAGATAAGGGAAGTTTTTCTGCCAACTGTAAAATGGTATTAAGGTTCATGTGGGGGCTGGGGAGATGGCTCAGTGGGTAGCAGTGTTGCTGCACAAACATGAGGCCCCAGTTTGACTCTCTACTACCTACATAAAAGCTGAGCATGGCCACACATCCCAGGAGCTAGCTGGTGAGCTTTGGGTTCAGTGAGAGACTCTTTCTCAAGGGAACAAGAATGACAGTGATAGAGCAGGATACCAGTCATCCTTCTCTGCTCTCTGCGTGCACACATTCACAGAACACATACACGCACGTGCACACGCGCGCGCACACACACACACACACACAACACAAATTAAGGTGTCATTTTTTTCCTGGCCTACCTATTTGAGAGACTCTTTCTCAAGGGAACAAGAATGACAGTGATAGAGCAGGATACCAGTCATCCTTCTCTGCTCTCTGCGTGCACACATTCACAGAACACATACACGCACGTGCACACGCGCGCGCACACACACACACACACACACAACACAAATTAAGGTGTCATTTTTTTCCTGGCCTACCTATTGCTAAAATGATAATTATAGTCCATTGTAATCCATGGTTCAAAGTGGATATGATTTTTTTCATGTAATTATATCAGTTAAAGCTCTTATAATCTGTTCAGGTTGTCTGTCACTATTACATTTCAGCCATCAATTGTTTGCTGGCATAAGCAACTTGTAATGGTTTAATTACTTATTATCTCACCCTCCCCAAAAGGTTTAATTCATTTAGTGCCATTACATATATAACCACCACTGCTATCAGTCTAACACAATCTCATAAGAAAAACATATAATTAAAAAATCCGAGTACGGGCCAGACATGATGACACATGCTTTAGTCCCAGCACTTGAGAAGCAGAGGCAGGTAGATATCTGTGAGTTTGAGACCAGTTTGGTCTACATAGCAAGTTCCAGGCCAGCCAGGGATACAGATTGAGATAGTAAGACCCTATCACAAAAAAACAAAAACAAAACAAATCAGAGTAGGGGCCAGGGTTATATCTCAGTAGGTAAAGTAGGAACCTCAGTTCAGATCCCCAGGACCCAAATTAAGCCAGGCATGTATAATCCCTGTGTTCCTAAGGCAAGATGGGAGATGGAGATAGAATCTCTGGAAACTCCCTGGCCAGCTACCTGGTTATACATAGAGAGCCTACCTCAAGGTGGAAGGTAAGGACTGACACATAAGGCTCTTATCTGACCTCCACCATATCATCACATCATGGCATGCTGTATATGCATTGACTCATGGCAGTATACAAAATCCTCCAAAGGAAGCAACATGTTAAACAGAAAGGGCTCATATTAAAGTGCCCTCTGAACAGTGGGCAAACCAAAAGTTAAACTGAAGAATATGATTTTTCTTGTTTCTCTTTTTAATTTTCATTCTTACAGTAGTCTCTCTACTATTTCAGCTAATGATGCTGGCTACTTTAATGAGGAAATGGCACCAATTGAGGTGAAGACAAAGAAAGGCAAACAAACAATGCAAGTGGATGAGCATGCTCGGCCCCAAACAACCCTGGAGCAGCTACAGAAACTGCCTCCAGTGTTCAAGAAAGAGGGAACTGTCACTGCAGGGAACGCATCGGTGGGTGTCCCAGCACATCAGCACATAGCCTTCCCACTGGGTTCTTGCAGAGTGATCATGAACACTCTTCCAGACACTTGTAGGCACTTTCTAGTCTTGAGTTGTTTAACGTAAACCAGTAGTGTTTATCTTTTGTTAATTTTTTTCATAGTCTAAAACAAAATGTTTTAGCTAGGTCCTGATAATAATCTGGCTTCGTAGTCTTTTCAGAATGTCAAAAGGAAATCTCTTAGTTTGTTATGTTAATTTTTATCTTTTTCTTTCTTGCATATATAATTCAGATTTCTTTTTACATCTGCTTGTATTGGATGACAAGCTTTTCTTTGACATTCTTGGTGAGGTTGTATGCCATACCTAAAACAATCCTCATAGACCCCCTATGTCCCCAGTACTTCTAGTGGCATCCCAAATTATGCCTGTATTTCCTATGTACCGCCCTATTCCAATTCTACTTCATTGGTAATGCTACACCATTAGCTTGAACCTTGATTAATTGTATTCTTTTTACCAGTTAGTTAATTTACTGCTTTTGTTTTGAAGGGGGTATCTGATGGTGCTGGAGCTGTCATCATAGCTAGTGAAGATGCTGTTAAAAAACATAACTTCACACCACTAGCCAGAGTTGTCAGCTACTTTGTGTCTGGATGCGATCCCTCTATCATGGGTATCGGTAAGTTTAGCATGGGAACTGTGATATACTTCTAGGGTCAGGGTCAAGGTCACTGTGGAGATCAGTCATTTAACAAGTCATCTTTTAAAAAAATACTTTATTATTTTAATTTTATATGTATGAGTCATTGCCTGCATGCGTGTAAGTGCACCTATGTCGTGCAATGCCTGTGGAGGTCAGAAAAAGGCATCCGATCCCCTGGAACTAGAGTGACAGACTGTTGTTAGCCGCCAGATGGGTGCTGGGAACAGAATCCTGGTCCTCTACAAGAGCAACCATGGCTTTTAATTAACTGCTAAACCATCTCTCCAGACTCTTAACACATCATCTTTAAGAAGAACTGTTCTAGACATAACAGGAGTCCAAGACCATGTAAATTCTCTATGGACGGCAATCATATCTCACTTAACATACAGAAAACAATAGAAGGGCCTGGGACTGTAGCTCAGAGGTAGAACTCTTGCCTAGAATGTGTAAGACCTAGATTTGATCCCTAGCACCAGAGGAAGGCTTTGACTCATCCTACCATGACCACATGCCTCAAGGAAAAGCCTTCCTCAGTGTATGAATTTCAGATTCTTGACAGAACTAAAGATTTTTCTATGAGCTTGGGCCTTTTTTGACTAATTAATTTGGTTTTCAAGATAACTGTCAAGATGGAAGGAAGGTAATGTATCGCTACCTCAGACCTACAGTGTATCCCTGCAGGTCTTGTTCAGATAACACCGTGAATGCTGCCAGGGTTAAGTTAACCCCGAGATGCATTTACAGCCATGCTTTTCAGACAAGACTTAGCTCTGGATGGAATTCCCAGGAAAGAAACATGACTGGAGTGGTATCCAACATTTCCAAGTCTGCTGTACTGGTTCCTACCCTAACTGATCATCAAAACCCACATGCAATCTCATCCTTGAAGATTTTGTTCCAGTAGATCTGAATATAAGAGTTGTTTGGGGTTTTTGTTTTTTTCCCCTGAATACAAGAGCTTTGATGACCTACTGGATTTCTCTGATCTCCTAATAGTTCTATTTTTGATTTAACCTCACGTAATGGATTTCGATAGAGTAGCATTAGCTGGTGAGTAAAGAAAATGTTTTCCTTGCTTAGAGTCCCTGGCATGAATGCTTGTCACTGTAGAATTGTCCTTGGAGCTTGAGGAGAGCTAGGCATGTCAAGTGGTTCTCAGTGTCAGATGCCTTCATCACCTAGAAGCTCATCTATTACTGACAGTGTGGGATAAGCAAGGTGTGGTAGTTTAAATGAGAAGTGTCCCCATAGGTTCAAGTATTTGAACACTTGGTCAGTTGGTGCTACTGTTTGGGGAAGGTCATGGACCTTTAGGAGACCTTGCTGGAGGAAGCATGTCACTGGGGCTGGGCTTTGGGAGTTCATAGCTTTGCCCTATTTCCGGCTTGCTCTCTTCCTGCTTCCTGTGAGTAGTTGAAGATATGAATGTTCAGCTTTCTGCCTGGGCTGCCTCCTGCCATGCCTTCCTCACTGTGATAGACTCATCCATCTGGAACTATAAGCCCAAATAAACTCTTCCTTCTATAAGATGCCTTGGCCACAGTGTCTTATCAGAGCAACATAAAAGTATCTGTATAGTTGAATAAGATGGTTTTGGATGTTCTGTGTGATATACACACACACAAAAAAAATCAGCTCTCAGGAGGCAGAGGCAGGCTGATCTCTGTGAGTTCAAGGCCGGCCTGGTCTACATAGTGAGTTCCAGGACAGCTGGGGCTACAGGGAGACCCTGTTTCAAAAAGACCAAAAAAAAAAAAAAACAAATTTTTAAAAATGTATTATATTTGAGGAGGAAGCATAAAAATTTATGTCATGTTAATTAGTAGAGGTGATAAGCATTACCATTGAAATCTACCCGATAACTTTATATCCATACACAGGCGCCAAGGATCCGAGTTCAACCAATTATTACTAGTAATAATCAGATACATACAGATTAGAGATGCACATGCCAACATCACCGTGCTATTAGCAAAAACAATGAGTCTTTCTGTAAGAAATGGTATATTTTAAAATGAAATGGAGATCTTTTTTAAAGGTTAAAAACTCATTCAATTTTTCATCTTGCAGGGCTTATACTAAGTTCAATATTGTATAACTGTATTAATTCAACAGCGAACCTAAAAATTTTACAACCGCTTTTGAAAGAGCTCCAGAAACTGTTATTGAGCATATTAAAGCTGTAATAATATGCTTCTTCTAAAAAAATAATATTATTATTAAAAAAACAATCAAAGGGTTGGTAAGAAGTTGCATTGAAGTTTGACTCTGATGCTCTGCTTGGAGCCTGCCTCTTAACCAGGACACCTGATGCCCTTTAAACATGGGTGGGTTCAGCTGATGGCTGCAGACTTGTGCTTTCTGCATCTTTATTTGAATACTGGTGGAAATCCCTCTATCCAGGTAATAGACACATCCCCTCTGGGATACCAAAGACCAGTTCTCACTGGGATCCCCTAGAGTGCCTATACTGGATGGAGACACCCTGAAATTCTGTTTTGGGCTTTCCTCAAGCAGTTTCTAGCTGTGAGGCAGAACTTCTCTCTAATAAACCCTGAGTTATAAAAAGAGGATTAAACCTTTATCTGCATAAACAAAAAAACAAACAAAAAAGTATCCAATACACAAGGTAACTAGATAACATGCCCTGGGTGAATCAACAGGAAGAATAAGTTACTGAGCTTCTAGCAGGACTGGCTTTGCAATCCAGTCTTTAAAGACAATAGTTCCACAGTTCTTTAGGTCTCGAACATGTCACCATCCACAGCTGTGCAGAATAGCTGCAGACCAGGAAAACAAAGGAGCCAGAACTTACAGAGAGTAGTGATGTCTCTGAGGAAGATGCAGTTAGGAAGACACTGCTCGGTGAAACTTGTGGGGAGTGTAGTAGTGGAGGTGAGTAGGTAGAACTTGAAGTGTCTTTGAGCTGAATGGAGTAACTTTAACTTTATTTGACTTCATTTTTAGAAATGGCTTTAGTGTTTAAAAAAGAAAGGTTAATAGCCAGTTCAAGGAATTTTTTTAATTGACTCTTGAAGTCTGAGGAAGTAACCCAAGTTCCAAGTTTTTAATGATACGAGCCAGAACCAGAAATAAGGTCTTTTGTTTAAGAATACCAAACCTTCTCAACACCTAATAAATACTTGTGAGGGGTCTGGAGAGGGTCAAATTATGCCTCAGAATATTGTTAACAATCAACTGTCAAGATTCTGAGTCAGCATGCACATACTGAGCCAGGCTTGCTGATCTTCTTGAAGACACAGAAGTGTGTAATGCTTAGCATTGTCAGCTCCATTACCACTAAAGAATACATCATCCCTTTTCCCTTTATAAGCTGATGATCTCAGGTATTTCATTATAGTGGTGAAAGCTAACAGTTCTCTGTGCTAGTTAACTGATGCTTTCCTATTTACCACCTGTGTTGAGTCCTTGTTTCCCTCTGAAATCTCATGAACCAGGTCTCCACTGTCCATGTTTCTCACAACATGCTTGTCTTCCAAGCTCCAACCAGAAGGGCCTATAAGCTCTGTTTGCAGTATTCAGTGGCTTTTCCAGGCTAGAGTTCCAATCTCGTCCACAATCTTCCTGCAAACCACTTCCAAACACCTAAAAACTTACCTGGTCAGGTATCATGGCAATGACCTCACTCTTGGTACCAATTTTCAGTATTAGTTACTTGTCTCATTGTTGTGGCAAAATGCCTGACAAGAAGCAAACTTAAGGGAAAAAGGGTTTTATTTTATCCTCCAGTTCAAGGGGTATAGTCCATCATGGTGAGAAAGTCATGACAACAGGAAGTTGAGGCAGCTTGTCACATTGTGTCCACAATCAGGATGCAGAAAGTGTTAAATGCTAGTACTCAGCTCATTTTCTTTTTTTTCTTTTTAACCAGTTCTTAGTATAGTGCTGTCCATAGTTGAAGTCAGTCTTCCCACTTCAATTATCCTAATGTAGAGCAAGCACAGAGGCTAACCTAACCTAGATAACCTCTCACAGATGTGCTTAGAGGTTTGTCTCTTATGTGATTCTAGATTGTCTCAAGTTGACAAAGGATATTTATTAACCATCACACTGTCTAACCCATTTTCATCCCTTAGACATGCAAAGAATCTGGAATTAAACTTTTTGGGGGGGGTCTTTTTGAGACAGGGTCTCCCTGTACCCCCAACTGCCCTGAACTCGCTATGGAGACCAGGATGGCCTCAATCTCACAGACATACCCTGAGTGCTAGGATTAAAGGTGTGCACTACTGTGTCCGACTTTGGAATTCACCTTTATTTAATCAGTAACAATACAGAAGTGCCATTTTAAACTGAACACCTTGCTAAGTGGTCACACTCAGTAAGCAGACTTGTCCGAAGAGCTTTTCTAACTATACAGCAAAGTAAATTAGTATAATATTTAGATTACATTGTAGTTTTCTTGTAAAGATTCACTTCCATTTTGTGAAACTTGTTACAGAATGTCTCAGTACTTGAATTCAAAGCAGGTCATATATTCTTTATAGACACTTACAACAATTCCATGCTCTAAGAATAAAGAGATAAGCTCTAGCTAGACACATTTTGGAAAAAATAATGATTTTTCTAAAAATTAGAAATATTGAACTGCTGTTGGTGATCACTGGAAATGTGGAAGCCAGTGCTTCTTTTAGAAGCCTTGTTAAGTTGATTTGCATTTCTCAAGCTATGGGCTATGTTCTCCACCTGCTACTGCAAATAAGGATGGTCTTTACTTCAGATGTCTTCCCACAGCTTTCTATCTGCCAGACTTCTGCAGATGCCACTGGTATTTCCTGCTTTTTGTCCAAATGGGCTGAAGATTCAAAGTGAGTGAATATAATTTGTGTTGGCAGAAGAACATTTAGTCTGCCCGGTCATTTGAGATCAAAAGTGATTTGTAACTGACTGTAAACTCCACATATGGCTCCTTTGCTGCTTGAAGTTCTAAAGCCAAGTAGATCATTTCATCTAAGTCTGTCACTCACAGTTGACTGCATAGTCAGTTTTCATCTCAGTCCCATTTTCTTTATGTTGGTGCCTCATTTCTTATGTGATAGTCATATCTTTTCTTTCTTGCTTAGCAAAGAAGAAAGAGTTCTGTTTTGTTTTGTTTTGTTTTGTTTTGTTTGAGACAGGTTCTCACTCTATAGAACAGGCTGGACTTGAACTGACTATATGGCCCAGGCTGCCTTGAAACTCATGATCCTCTACCTCAACTTCCTGAAGGCTAGGATTATAGATGAGTAGTGCTTCACCTGGCTTAGATGAAGTCTGATATATAAGTAATAAAATGACATGTGTTTCTATATATGTCTTTTATTCTTATACAGGTCCTGTCCCTGCTATCAGTGGGGCATTGAAGAAAGCTGGACTAAGTCTTAAGGACATGGATTTGATAGAGGTAAGTGCTTTCTTTTTACAATATGAATAAATCACCTATTTTTAGAGCATAAATGGTTCAGCTTGGTATTTTGTAGGATTTTTTGTTTTTGTTTTTGTTTTAATTCTGTTAACTTTTCCACATGAGGTCCAGCCACATATGTATGGCCTATGAATGCTTTGTGCCAGACTATTTCCCCACTGAATTAAAATGCTTTAATAATTTCTGTGTGCATATATGTTCATGTGTGTGCATGTGAAAGCCAGACATCAACATTGTCTTCCTCAATCTATTTCCACCTTTTTTTAATTAAAAATTTTTTAATGATTTTAGTTTTATGTGTATGAGTGTTTTACCTGCATATGTAGGTGCAACACGTGCATGCAGTGCCTGTAGAGGCCAGAAGAAAGCGTTGAATCCCTTGGAACTGGAGTCACAGACAGTTGTTAACTGTCATGTAGGTGCTGGGAACCAAACCTGGGTCCTCTGCAAGAGTTAGTCAGTGCTCTTAACCACTGAGACATCTCTCAATCTCAAGCTCCTCCATCTTATTTTTGAGATAGATATTGCTAGATAGATATTGATAGATATCTCACTGAACCTGAAACCTGCCAGTTTGGCTGGACTGGCTGGCCAGCAAGTCTCTGGGTGTCTACTTTCTCTGCCTCCCCAGTGTTGGGATTACAGGCAGGTACCAGTGCACCTGACTGCTTTACATGGCTGCTGGGTATCAAGCTCAGGTCTTCATGCTTACTCAACAAGCCCTTTACTGAGTGAGCCATCTCCCCAGCCCCACTTTGCTTATTTTTTAGTAATTCAAACATCCCAATTTCTCTTACAAAAGTAGAAACCTAGAAAGTTCTTAGGACTTGAGAGAAGGCTGTTGGATTTTAGATTGTTAATATGCCTGATGAATTGAGTATTACAGAGGTGGGAAATGAGTAACCTTAAAGAGTAAGGTGTAAAAGTATAGATAAAATAATTGACTGATACGAAAAGCAATATCTAGTGCCTAATCTAAAAGTTTCTTGCCTTTCTCCCAAAATTTAGACCCCTCCAAATTTATATTTGGTTTTTCACTATTATTGTGCCTTGATTTAGGAGTATTTTATAATTTTAACACTGGAAATTTAAATTAAATACACAGGTAGAGTGTTTTTTTTTTTTTTTTTTTTTTTTTTGGTTGGTTTATGTGTGTGTGTGTGTGTGTGTGTGTGTGTGTGTGTGTGTGTATGGCATTCTGGGAATTAATGCCTGCTAAACACATTCCCCATACTCAGCTATACCCCAACTCTAAGAGTGGTTTGTTTTTTTTTAATGTTAATATCAAAACAGAGATGTCTTAGCATTTAGCATAATTAAAAGGGACATAGCCAAGGGCTACATAGTAAGAGTCTGTTCCAAAAACAAGCAAACAAACAATAAGCATGCCTTTAATCCTTTTAATTGTATCACCCAAGGGGCAGAAGCAAGTAGATATCAGTCAGTTCAAGGTCAGTCTGGTCCCTCTGTCTAAAAACAAAAAACAAAAAAGCACAATCATCATCATCATCCTCATCATGAAGAGACAAGGAAGAAAGTGTTTATTAATGGTGCACCATAGATTTGGGGAATATTTGAGAATAGCTGATAATTAAGCTTGTGCTGCTTAGCATTGAGAAGTAAGTAATATAGCAGAGATCTCTGTTTAACTTGATAGAGAAGGGTAGACAATGTCTAGTTTCCTCTGATAACCTCTCATCCAAGAAACCAGGATTCAGGAAAAATAAATATTTCTCCTTAGTAGCTATCAGTTCAGAGCCTTGAGGGGGCTGCTTAATTATTATATTTAAGTCAGCAAGGTACTGCTAAATTTCTGACTACATTTCACTGTTGAAATAGAGTTCTGGTGCTAGAGAGATGGCTCAGTGATTAAGAGCACTGGCTATTCTTGCAGAGGACCCAGGTTTGATTCCCAGCACCTACATGGCAGCTAACAACCGTACATAACTCCAGTTCCAGAGGGTCTTACGCCCTTTTCTGGCCTCCTTGGACATTGCAGGACACAGGTGCACTTACCTACATGCAGGCAATACACTCATACACATATAATAAAAATAATAAATACTTTTAAAACTTTTTTTTAAAAGAAATGGCGTTCTGCCAAGCTATTTATAATCATCTCTAGATGCGTACCTACTGAGGACACAGAGTTCCCTGGGGTTTGGAAGCCTGCTATCACAGCATACTGTAGATCTCTCAGTAGCTCCTTGACAGTTACTTTATAAAACAAAAGAATAATGTTGATGTAAGGACAAATAAGATACCATCTTGGGAGAGTAAAACAATAAAGTAGGAAAGATCAAGATTGCGATTTGATCCCTACTCTGTAAAAATTACCTTTCTCAGAATCATTTATAACATTGCTGAGCTAAGAGCATATGAAGATGAAGTACTGTAAGTGGAACAGGCCAGCCTCATAGCCAGGCTTGGTAAGTGTAACTATAACATAAAACTCCCCTTGGCAGTTCTGCCACGTTCAACATCTTACCATCCCCTTCGTCTTGGGCTGTGAAGGTGTATTCTTTTTTCATTGTATGTGAGTTTCCTCTTAGGACGGCAGCCACATAGGAAGTACTTGCTGTATATCAGGTAACACACTCAGACACTTACTACCCATGATTTTATCCAACCTTGACAATCACTCTTAGCATGATGGTATAGTTGAATTTTTCCATTGAGGGAATTCAAGCATAAAGAAAGTGTACAGAACCTGCACATGGTCACGTATTAATAAATAATCCAGCCAAGATCAGAACCCTCCATCTAGCTCTAAAACTCACCCTGGCTTTCACTCCCTCTAGTATGTCTGTTTATGAGTATGATAATAGCTTTTCTTTAAGGAATACATTTGATTTGAAGTATCATTTAGTAAATACACCACCCTTTTTCCAAAGAGGTATATCTTGTATAAGGTGCCCAAGCCGGCCTCAAACTTGCAATCTTCCTTTCTCAGCCTTCCAGTTAGCTAGGATTGGAGGCGTGTGCCACTATACCCAGCTATATACCCATTTCTAAACCTATTATCTTTTGTAAAGGAAGATAATTCTGTATAACCTTGAACATGGTTATGTTGACCAGTATTGATGAAAGCTGTTTGTATGTATACTCTTGTGCGCATGCTTGCTCCCCAACCCATGTCCTCCATCTTTACATTGGGTGGTTGAAGATAAATTTAGATAACATTGTGAGATAATAGAACTAGGAAGACATAGAAAATACCAACAAGACTAGATCATTTTGTTAAAAATCAATTTGTAAGAATTTTTATCAATGTTAACTCTTTCCTAAGGTGAATGAAGCTTTTGCTCCTCAGTACTTGGCTGTTCAGAAGACCCTGAATCTTGACCCAAGTAAAACCAATGTGAATGGAGGAGCCATTGCTCTGGGTCACCCACTGGGAGGATCTGGATCAAGAATCACTGCACACCTGGTTCATGAATTAAGGTACATGCTAGAAATTGCTGTGTTTCATAGAATTTAGGTTTCCTTGGGGCAGTTCCATGTGTTTCCTTCTTCCTCATTTCCCCGGCCCTGATTCTGACCAAAAGCAAGTTTTGGGTGACATTTTGCACTGGGCTTCCCAGATGAGTTGGTCACTTTGTTAGTGGCTCTGCATTTAGGACCCACACTCTTTCTGGAGTTTGCTGTGTACACTGTGCAAGCACTCAGCAAGTGTTCATGGAGGAGCTGTGCACATCTGGCCACCTCTGGTGCTGGTGATCAGCAGTGAGCAGACGCTGCCGCCCCGCTTCTGTGGTGCTGCATTTTAGTGTCTACATCAGTAATGAGATACATTTACTTAAGAAAACAAAACACTGAGTTGGTACAGGTCTAGATGCTATCATTTAAGAAACCTAAGTGAACTGGCAGTCACTGTGTGAGCTAAGTTTTTCCTTTACTGTGTCCAAGGTAATTGATTCTCTTCAGTTTTGAAGAAAAGCTTCTCATGGCCTTGTATATTTTGAGCTATTTTGTTTTGTTAAGAAAATTGCAAATGGCTGGGCATGGTGGCGCATGCCTATAATCCCAGCATTCAGGAGGCAGAGGCAGGTGGAATTCTGTGAGTTCAAGGCCAGCCTGGTCTACATAGTGAGTTCCAGGACAGCTGGGGCTACAGGGAGACCCTGTCTCAAAAAGACCAAAAAAGAAAATTGCAAATGAAGAAACTGTGAGGCTGCAGGCTCATTGCAGCCTGTCGGGAAGAGTGACGGGTCTCTTGTCATCGAGTGATCCATTGGATGGAAATGAGTGATTGCAATGAACAAAAGTAATTCCTGAATTATTTCTCAAGGTCACAGATCAAGGCCGAAGAATGAAAATAGAAGGTCCAATTAATTTGGCGGGGGGTGGGGTGGGGGCGGGTTGAGACGGGCTCTCCCTGTAGCCCCAGCCGGCCTGGAACTCACTATGTAGATCAGACTGGCCTCGATCTCAGAGATCCGCCTGCCTCTGCCTCCCGAGTGCTGGGACTACAGGTGTGCACCACCATGCCTGGCTAGGAGGTCTCATTTTTATGATCGTTTTCTAAATTACCTGCTCCTACATGTGAACAAAGTACATTAATTAAATTTTTCTCTAAAGTACCATAGGAATCTGAAATCATACAAGGCAAAGGAGCCAGTGCCCCCCCACACTTCTTCCTCCTGGTTGTCTAAATGACCTCCTTATTCTTAGCACACCTAAGCTTGCTTCTTTCAGTTCCTCTATCTCAAAATCTACCTGCCTTCCTCTTAGACTGTCTCTCTCTTGTATGTTACTTCTTTGTTTTTTTATTTTTGAGTAAGAATATTCAGCTTTCTGAATTCTTTAATCAGTTATGACCATAAGTCAAAATTAAAGATTAGGGAAAGGACTGGGAAGATGAGTTGATTAAGAATGAATAGGGTGTGGGCATGGTGGCTCACGCCTTTACTCCCAGCACTTGGGAGGCAGAAGCAGGTGAATCTCTGTGAGCTCAAGGCCAGCCTGGTCTACATAGCAAGTTCCAGCTGGGGCTATAGGGAGACCCTGTCTCAAAAAGGAGAAAAAAAAGAATGAATAAGACAAATATGACTGATATTGTTTAAGTAGTCTATTTTTAAATCCACATGTGAAATAGTGGGTTTCATTATGTATTATGATAATGAATTCTTTTTTATCTTACATTTATTTATTTAGTGTGTATGTGTATGCACACATTTGTGATGTGCATGTGCTCATAGCATATGTTTAGAGGGCAGAGGACAAGTTGTGGGAATCAGTTCTCTCCTTCCACTGTGTGGGTTCTGGGGTTCCAACATCAGGCTTGGTGGGAAGGGTCTTTACCTACTAAGCCATATAACTGGCCTCAATGACAAATTCTTTTTTCTTTCATAGGCGTCGAGGCGGAAAATATGCTGTGGGATCTGCTTGCATTGGCGGTGGCCAAGGCATTGCTGTGATCATTCAGAACACAGCCTGAAGAGCCTACGAGCACACTGCCACCTTCACACAAGCCACAAGACCACAAGTGACCTTCAGAGCAGCTGCCACACTGGCTGGGGCCTGCCACCAAAGCAGTGATTGAGTGTGATCATACCTTGACACCTTGGTGAGGCAGAATGCATTAGGTTTTATCTGCTTTGTACCATGGAAGGCCTTAAAAGAAACGGTGTCCTTGCCAAAGAACCACCATTCATGCCTTAGATAATGGATTACAAACTGAATAAATGTTGCCTTAACTTCAGCTCATCTTTTCCTATTGCATTTTTTTAATTATATAAAAATGTGCCATTTTATTCTTTTTTTTTTTCGGTGTTTGTTTGTTTGTTTGTTTGTTTGTTGAGACAGTCATTCTGTAGCCCCAGCTGGCCTGGACCTCACTGTGTAGACCAGGCTGGCCTCAAACTCACCAAGATCAACCTGCCTCTGCCTCCCAAATGCTGGGATTAAAGGTGTGAGCCACCATGCCCCGTTTATCCATTTTTTAAACATGCAGTAGCGTTGAGGTTTGTCACATTGTTGTGCAAAGAGCATCACCACCCAACTTTAGAACTCTTCTAGTACAAGTGAAGCTGTTCACATTTTAAAGACTTATTTTTTAATTGTTATTTATGTGTTTATGTCTGTCCGTCTCTCTCTCTCTCTCTGTCTCTCTCTCTCTCTCTCTGTGTGTGTGTGTGTGTGTGTGTGTGTGTGTGTGTGTGTGTGTGCCTGAGGAGGCTAGAAGAAGGCATCAGATCCCCTAGAGCTACAGGCAGCTGTGAGCTGCCTGATGTGGGTGCTGAAAACTGAACTCTGGTCTTCTGAAAGCAACAAATGCTCTTAACTACTGAGCCATTTCTTCAGCCCTTGTTCTCACTTTAAAGAATGACTCTCCAAGGGTCTGGAGAGATGGCTCAGTGGTTAAGAGCACTGGCTATTCTTGCAGAGGACCCCAGTTCAGTCCCCAGCACTCATATAGTAGCTAACAAGCATCTGTAACTTCCATTCTAGGGATTCTGACACTCTCTTCTGACCTCCATGGGTGTTGCATGGTGCACTTATATACATGTAGGCAGTACACTCATACACATAAAATAGGAATAAATAAATAAAATCTTTTGTAAAGAGTGACTCTCCAGTCCCCTCTTAAGCCCCTAGCAACCACCATTCTACTTTCTGTTTTCTATGTATTTTGCTGCTCTAGGAACCTTGTATAAGTGAAATCAAACAATATTTGTCATTTAGTGACTGGCTTATTTCAATTAGCATATCCTCAGGATTTAAACTTGTTGGAGTGTGTGTCCAAATTTCTTTGCTTTCTAAAGCCAAACACTATTCCTGGGTGTGTACTTGCCTCATCTTATTTCTCCACTCATCTGCTGGTGGTCTAGCTTGTGGCAACTTCTGCTTCATGTCGCCATAGCCAGGAGAGGCTCTTTAGTCTTCATCTGGACTTCCTCAGTTCCATCTGGACTCACTTGCCCACACCCACTCTAAAATTGGCTTCTCTTCTCTTGGATTTTCTCCTGCCTCTGTCCTTCCGTCCTCCCTCCCTTCCTCCATTTTTAGGCAGGATTTTACTGTGTGACACAGACTGGCCTCTAACTCACAGTGCTCCGCCTCCACCTCCTGCTCCTAAGTGCTGGGATGGCAGGAATGAGCCATGACACCTTGCTCATGGCCACTCATTTTGGTCACTTCCCCTTTTTTTATTGAATTTTTGAGAATTTCATACAATATATATTTTGATCATATTTAGATCCCTTCAACTATATACACCCACCTTACTACCCTCCTGCCCAATTTGTACTCTTCATATATATATATATGGGCTTATAGAGTCACTTTGTATCCCCAAATGCCCTTTGGTGTGGGTTTGTACACTGGAGCGTGGTTAACCTACGCTCACCCTTAAAAGAGACAGACTCTGCCCCTCCCAGCAGCCATTGGTTGCCAGTAGTTCCTCAGGTAGTTTTGGGGTTTCTTACCTACTTCCCCACATCTGTTCTGGGAGTGTTTTGGCCTTTCCTGATGACTGTTCCTCTGCTGGGCTTCTTGAGAGATTTCTCAGGATTGGTCTTTGGGTTTATGATGGTATCTTCACTGATGCCAAGCTCTAAGTCTCAGTTACAACCCAGCACCACTCTCCCCTCTTGTTCCAGATCCTACATCTGCCTGCCCCCTTGACCTTCCTCACAGGCATCTTCATCTTAAGCACTCCGCTTCTCAGTAACTGTTCTCAGATCCCACTAAAGTAACTCCTTTGAGTTATCGTCTCAATGCCAGAAACACAGTCAGAAAACTAGGTGTTCCTTTGATTCTCTCCTCTCCTTTACCAATCTACAAATGTCGCATATTCCAGGATATATCTCAAGACTGTCGGCCAGTAGAACCTCTTCTAGACAACCTTCACCAAGAGCTCCTATCTCCATTCCTGCCCCCTTTCATTCTCTAAGAAGTCACCATGGGCATATTTTTAAAGTACTTATTAGATTCCCTCAACCCCCCAAAACAGCTTTTTGTCACACCTGGAATAAATCCAGACTCCTGCCTGCAGAGCCCATACTTGGAGGCTCTCGGTCCTCGGGGTGGTATGGCCCGATGTCTCTCAACTTGGTATCAGACTGCTTCCTTGGATCCCTGTGCTCCAGATGCACTGCCTGACTTTGGGCTGCCTATACTCCATGCTTCATGCTCTGGGGGTTTCTGATCTGCCTAGATTGTTCTGTCCTCTGTCCAGCCAGGCCACATACTTGTTCATTCTTGAAGTCTCAGATGGTCCCTCCTCAGTAGTCTCTGTTCCCCCTCTTTTCTCCCCATGGCTCTCCATGGGAGCTTTTTTGAGTTTGCGTTGACAATCTCTGTTCATTGTTTAGGCTGTGTGCTCTGTGTGAGGCTAGAGTTCACATGCCTAGCACAGGGCCTAATACACACAATAAATGCACAGTGGATGGATGGTGGGTAGATGACATTCAATAAAGGAAATTGCTCCAGCCTCTTTCTTTTTGGAGCCACTATGTCATCCAGACTTAGGAAGACCCAGAAATTTAGGGGCCATGTAAGCCCCAGCCATGGCATTCATGTATTCATATACAGATATACACAAGCATACACATTAAAAGTAGGTACCAGACATACCCAGGAGGACTAAGGTAATGCTGGTGGCATGTATCACCACAGGATCAATTTCAACAAATATCCAGGTTACTTTGGGAAAGTCGTTATGAAGCATTACCACTTCAAAATGAACCAGAGCTTCTGCCCAAGTGTGGACATTGGTCAGTGAGAAGACATGGGTAGATGCTGCCAAAAGCATCACTGATATGGTGCAAACAGGTGTCTACAAAGTTCTCATGAAGAGAAAGTTCCCTAAGCAGCCTGGCATCAGGAAAGCCAAATTCTTCAGAAGAGCTGAGAAGATTGTGTTGGGGGCGCCTGTGTCCTAGTGGCTTGAAGCCACACAGGGGGGTTCATTAAATGCTAGCATTTTTTTTCTTTTTTTAGATTTATTTTATTATTTTTAATGTGTATGCTTGTGTGTATCTGTATATGAATATGTGCACTAAAGTGCAGGTGCTCTCAGAGGCCAGAAAATGGCATCAGATCCCCTGTATCTGGAATAACAGGTGGCTACTGGGAACCAAACTGATCCTTTGCAACCCCACTATTTTCAAAAAGACACAAAAGAAAGGAAAGTACTCCAGGCACGGTGGTACACACCTGTAATGCCTGCACTTGGGAAATAGAAGCAGGATGATCAGGAGTTCAACAAGGAGAATTCAAGGCTAGCCTGCACTACATGAAACCCTGTCTCAGAAAAAGGAAAAGAAAATTGTCCCAGATCATTTAGAAATAGGAGTTCCCTTTCCTCAGTTTATCTTATTCTTCTCCACAGATTACCATAGAAGTGTGTTTGTGTCTATCCGTGCCCCTGTGTGCTTATGTGGTTTCAAAGAGGAGGTGGGTGGAGAACTAGGGGAAAGTTCAAGGCTGTTTGCTGCCTGCCTGTAAGGATCAGCAGAGAGCAATGCACTTTTAGCATTGCTGTTGACAAGAGCCGGGGAGGAAGCCAAGTGTGGCAGAGGTTGCCTCTAGGATAATCATTAAATTTATCATCCAAACCAGGTGACTTTTGAGAGGCGAAAGGGACACTCTTCATTACTCTGGGGAAACAGGTGTGAATTGGCACCATCTTGGGCAAACCAGGATATACAGGCACCCTACTTTTAATTAAGCCAAGTATACTGCTGTGATTATTCCAACTCAGTTCCAGAGAGCTGAGCGAGTACTCTGTGTACGGTTGGGTATGAACAGTCAGTCAGGGTGGCTCTCTCTTGAGCACTGACCTTTGAGCAAACACTTGAAAAGACTCAGGGAGAAAAGCAGAGGGGCAGCCAGGGAACAGCCTAGGGCAGGGGTGTGCCAGTGTACTTAGGGAACAAGGAGGCCAGTGTGGCTGGAGTGGAGTGAGCTAGCCACATGATCGGAGAAATCAGGCGCCCTAGGTGCATATCCTGCAGAGCCTTGTAAGTCACTTCAGCCTTTCTTCTGAATATAGTGGGGAGCCAATTCAGGCCTTCAAACAGAGAGGAGACATCATCTCAACTGAGGGCTGCTCCATTGAAATTCACTCTTGTGGGACACAGTTGGAAGCAGGGAGGCCAGTAAGGATGCTAGTGCGGTAAACTAGGACAAGGATCTAGGCACTGCACTGGGGTGGTGAGCACTTGTCCGGTTCTGGAAATATTTTGAGATTAAGTCTTGAGAGTTCCATTGGATCCGCTGGCTCAAGTTGTCAGAAGGACAAGTCCAGACTAACTTCTGGGCTGCTTCTCAGAGCCACTGAGCTAGAGAAAGCCAAAGGTGGAGCAGGTTTGGGATGGGATGTCCAAACAGATGATGAGCAGGTCCTGGGGTGAAGGAGGACGGGATCTGGAAGAGGTGAACCTCAAAATCTTCCAGTTGGAGGCTTTGATATGAGAGCCTTGGCCTAAAAATGGGAACAAGTGGCCGCCATTCTAGATGGAAACCCAACAAGGAATGAAGATCCATTTTCCCTTCCGGGAACACACCTGGGTGTTCATTTTATGATCTAAAGAAAAATGTAGTGGACATAAAGGAAGACTAAGTCCCCGTGCATCTGTATTGTTCAGAGGGGGTCGGGGGGGAGCATTCTTTCACTGCTTTACATAAATGCCATCTTCTTCACCTCTATGGAGGACCACCAGTTTGTAAACTACGCAGTTGAATAGCTGGAATACC